AATTTTAGTTCCTCACTAAGCAAGGAAAACAAATTTGAAGTCAGAGCCTTTGTCAAAATAATAAAAAATTATTGATAGAAGAGCAATCTGGAAGTATAGCAAAGTGCTCTGAGAGCATGAAAGGGCATAATTAATTTTGTTTAGGGAATCACAGTACTATTTTGTGCCACTACTTTCACAACTATTTTTAAAGATATAAAAACTTTTTTATTTTTGTGTACTTTTACTCTTGAAAAATTCTTGAATTGGAAATAGTTCTCAGATATTATAACAATTATAACTATATAAGTAAACAATTCCTTTTTATTAAAAATATAAAATCATTTTCAGAGAAAGTGTTAGCAACAATTTAACCCACTCTGGTCTTTCCAACAGACTAAAATAATTGTGAATTCATAAGTCTAAAAAATATAAGCTTCAATTCAAATCTCACAAAACTAAACTAAAACTAGGTCATATATATAAATATAAAAAAATCTCTAAAATTTTTATCAGAAAACATAAGAGAAAGTCACTGTGACCATGATTAGGTAAAAGATAATAGTTATATCACCCAAATCCCAACAGACAAAATAAAAAGTGATAAATAAGACATCATCAAAATTATTATTTTCTTCTCTTCAAAAATCACAGTTATGGGGCTGGAGAGATAATACAGCATGTAAGACAATTGCCTTGCTTGTGGCCAAAGAAGATTCAATCCCTGGCACTGCATATGGTCTCCCAAGCACCGACAGGAGTGATCCCTGAACATAGCAGTATAGCACTGTTCTCCCGTTGTTCATCGATTTGCTTGAGCAGGCACCATTGTGAGACTAGTTACTATTCTTGACATATCGAATACAACACAGGGAGCTTGCCAGGCTTTGCCATGCGGGCAAGATACTCTCGGTAGCTTGCCGGGTTCTCCAAGAGGGGCGGAGGAATCGAACTTGGGTCAGCTGGGTTGGCTGCATGCAATGCAAATGCCCTACCCGCTGTGCTATTGCTCCAGCCCTGAGCACAGAGCTTAGAATATATCCTGAGCACAGCTAGGTGTGACCCCAACAGGAAACAGCTATAACAAAAAGAAAGACCACTGTTAATAGAATGAAAAGGCAAATCACAGATTTGGAGAAATTATTGTAAATCACATTTCTGATAAAAGGCTTGAATATAAAACATATGTGGATCTCTTCAAGAAGACACATAAAGATGTTCAACATCATTCGGTTAACTTGTCAAAACCACAATTAGATAGCACTTCACATGCACTAAGATGCTAAAATCAGAAAACTGACAAGGAGTTGGAGCATCCAGAATTCTCATACGTTGTAGAAGCGCATAGTGGAGGGACCAGAAAACTGACAAGGTTTTCTCAATTGGACAGGCTTAATTACCTCCAAAACATCAACATAGAAGATGACCATCTTAGACTTACTGAAATCAGTGACATATCAATCTCTCTCTCTCTCTCTCTCTCTCTCTCTCTCTCTCTATATATATATATATATATATATATCACTCAGAAATCAGAAAACTGACAAGGAGTTGGAGCATCCAGAATTCTCTGACATATCTATATCTATATCTATATCTATATATCACTCAGAAATCAGAAAACTGACAAGGAGTTGGAGCATCCAGAATTCTCATACTGGTAGAAGCGCATAGTGGAGGGACCAGAGCGATAGTACAGTGGGTAGGGTGCTTGCCTTGCATGTGGCCTACCTCAGTTCAATTCTCCAGTATCCCATATGGTCTTCTTTTTATTTATTTATTTATTTATTTATTTGGAATACCCATCCCTCTACTAGTGACCATTTCCCACCACCACAGATCCCAGTATCCCTCCCACCCCCCATCCCCACCTCCCCATCCCACCCTGCTTCTGTGGCAGGGCATTCCCCTCTGTTCTCTCTCTCCTTTTGGGTGTTGTGCTTTGCAAACGAGTTAAGTATGATTTTCAGAGAGAAACGTTGGACGATTTACTTTCCATTGATCACTTCGTATATAAGGAGAGGTCCGCGGCCACGCAGTTTGGAGTAAATGTCCTGATTCCCGAGGGACCAACCGAGCCATGTTTGTAGAGGCTCATGGTCACTGGGGTTCCATCTGGAGAAGCCTGGATGCAGCACCTACCCCATTGGGGACTTCCCAGTGATCTTGGCTCTGTTTGGGACCTGGAGCATTCTCCGGGAGCTGTGGAGCCCCCCAGCAGTTTTCTTCTTTGTTGCTGTGTGCTGTAAAGATGGCGCTGGGGGGCGGGTTGTGGGCGTGACTTCAGGAATCAGAGGTTACCTGGGAGCCGGGGCAGTCTCGTGGCAGTTTGGAGTAAATGTCCTGGTTCCCACATGCCCGAGCTATGCTTCTAGAGGCTCATGGTCATCGGAGTTCCATCTGGAGAAGGTGGGATGCAGCACCTACCCCATCTGGGACTTCCCCGGTGATCTCGGCTCTGTTTGGGACCTGGAGCATTCTCCGGAATCTGTAGAGCCCCCCAGCGGTTTTCTTCTTTTCTTCTTTTTTTAAATTTAAATTGTTATTAGTAAAACACCATGAGGTAAAGTCCCCATATGGTCTTCTAAGCCCTGCCAGTAGTATCCCAGAGCACAGAGCGAGGAGTAAGTCCTGAACACCACTGAGTGTAACCCAAAACCAAAACCAAAAAGTTAACAATGGTACTACCACTTTAAAACTGGGTTAGAAGCTTCATATAAAGTTAAAAATACTCACTGTTCAATCCTTCAATCACATTCTTAGGTGTTTACCCAAGAGTATCTATATTTAGACAAAACATGTGTACAGCTGTTCATAGCAACTGCTTTGGAAACTGGAAACAACCCAAATATATCTCTAGTAAAAAAAAAAGAGAGAGAGAGAGAACAAACAAACTGTGCTCATAATGGAATACCACTTAGCAACAAAAAGGGACCAACCACTCCTCCGTATAACAACACAGATGAACCTCACCTTGTCCACCAAGAGAAAGAAGCCAAACTAATGCTTGTGTTTGTAAGACATTCTCTCAATAGGGAGAGACGGGACAGAAACTGAATCAGTGGTTGCCAAGAGAAAAGAGCTGACCACAAAAGGCAGGGACTTAAGGGTGCTAGAACATTCCTACATCTTAATTACCATGGAAAACACATGTCTATATTATACATTTGTCCAAACCTGCAAAACTTTAGCTAAAGCAGCTGAATTTAAGGTATGCTAATTATACCTTACGTTTATATATATCTTATGTGTATATATAACATATATACAATATGTAACATACCAAATGAGAAGAAATGACTAAGAGGACATACTTTCCCAAGCGTAAACCTAACCTAAAATAAAGTGTCAATTTGGGGGATTATCCATACATAAGAAAAGAATATTTCTTCATTTTGGGGGGCCACCCCTGACAGTGTTCAGGGCTTATTCCCAGCCCTGTGCATAGGGATCACTTTTTGGGGGGACCCAGGGATTTACATGGAGTGCCAGGGATAGAACCCAGGTCCACCATGTGCAAGCAAGTGCCCTACTTGCTTTACTTTTTCTCTGGCCCAGGAAAGAATTTTATGAAACTAGAATACCAGCACTGATAGATATCTAGATTTATAGACTGAGTGTTAATAAAATGTGTCAGAGGATCCCTTCAAATATGCTGTAATGTTTATGAAAATCTGGCCTTTTGACTGAGGACTCAGGAGGTAGACAAGACTCCGGAATTGGCTGCGTGGTTTAAATGGGGATGTTGGCACCCTGGAACAAGAAGTACAATGCTTGGCACTAATAACAGAGAACAAATGGCAACCCAACCATAGCAACAGACAAACCAAAGCTTAAAACTTGAACAAAGTGGAATTAGAGTAACCCCCACTATTACTTGTTTCTCACAAGCCAAGCAATTGCATAAATGGAAATATCTCCTAACATGAAATATGCTGACATTTTACGAAAAAAAAAGCACAAAAGAATGTTTAGCTAATAAAATGTAAGTCCTTGACAAGTTGACATGTGACTTTTAAGCATTTGTAACTGCTTTGCTACTCACTGTAATTATTTTATAGGACAGGCATTACATGATTTTTTAAAAGTGATTGATGATATTTTCAGGTGATTGTTACTTAAAACACTTAAACATCTTTGAAAACTGTAAATCTTAAGAGAGAGCATTCTAAACATTTTCGTGTTTATTTTGACATCAAACATGGCAGGGCCAGACCCAAAATAAAAATAAAAGGTAGGTTAGATTAAATTTTACAATGAACAATGAAGAAATTATGTTATGACATGGAATTTTACCAGTGTGAACTTTGCAAATGAGCCCTAGGTAAGTAATTTAAAATTCTCAATCAGGTTTTTCATTCTAACACCATGTAACCACAGCAGTTTCGTCCAGTCACTTGAACTCTCCAAGTCTCTTCCTTCAACTGCAATATCAGGCAGTGAATTTTAATAGAGAACATCTAGAACCAGCTAAATGTACAAATATTGATCTGATGCAGTGCCCTGAGAATTCCAGTGAGAGCTTCTGGTAAGTTTCCTGGAAAAAAGGAGGAAAAAAATCACTATTGCTTTTTGTACCTGATTTTTTTTTGAAGGAAGAAAATTTTAAAAGCCTCAGCCTTAGTTCTATGGATTCTAAAATAGAACGTTTTCATGGCATCTTTTCAAGTGAACACGTGTATCTAAAGACAAAGGGACCATCCTGATAAAAACGTTGGCATACTTAAGCTTGTTTAGAGCTGTGGTTTTCAACCATTGATCACTTGCCAGTGTGGCTTTACTCTCTCTGAAGCAGCCAATATCACTCTGACCTGCCTCATCATTTGTTAAAGTCAAGGACTTTAACAAGGACTTAACTCAAAGACCTATGGAACAAAGAAAAAGTTCTCGTGGTTTCCCTTTGTCTCTTCCCCACCATTTTAATGAATTTGGCAAGCTGCCCACCAAGATTGAGCATCCTTTAAAACCTGACATAGCTGCTGGCATTTAATCAATTTTCCTTTCGTTGTTTTTTTTTTCAGCCCCTGAGTTTTGAAAGCAAGAAAAGCTACACCTTAAAAGTGGAAGGCGCCAACCCTCACCTCGAGATGCGTTTTCTGAACCTGGGCCCCTTTCAGGACACAACCACGGTGCACATCAGTGTGGAGGACGTGGATGAGCCCCCAGTATTTGAACCGGGCTTTTATTTTGTGGAGGTTCCTGAGGATGTGCCCATCGGAACGACCATTCAGGTCATTTCTGCCAAGGACCCAGATGTGACCAACAACTCGATCAGGTTTTTTCACAGATCTCGTTTTTCCCTTAACAAACCCAAATCTTCTCTTCCCTAGGGATAGTTTTCTAGCCAGTGTTCCCTTTGCTCCTTCTGTATCTAGACGCTCTGTTTAAATAGCTTAGCCATTCCACATTACCTAGATGAGAAGCACCATCACGTCCGCAGTTCACTGGCAGTTAGTTCAGACAGCCACATTCCCCCTCTCACTTCTTTCTCAGTTGCAAAATTACTGACATGCTGGGCTGATCCTTCCTTATTGTGGGGCGTCCTGTGCATTGCAGAATATTTAGCAGCATCTCCCACCTCTCTCTACCCAAGAAGTGCCAGTAGCATCCCCCTAATCTGTAAAAACTTGAAATGTTCCCAGATAATGCCGTGATGTCCAGAATCACACCCAGTTATGAACCATCCATTTAAATGAAGCATAGGCATTAAGGGCCAAGGTTTAAAAAAAAATTAAAAGATATTGAAGCTTGGTAAGTATAAAAGCAATCGAAGCACATTCTTCCCGTTTTTATGACCCTTTGACATTTTGATTTTAAAAACAGAAAATGTAACATCCTTTCATGGACCATCGAAAGAATAGACACAAATCCCTGTCCTGGTCCCACATTGGACAAACAGGGCTTTCTCTCGCCAGCCCTGAGAGAGAAACACGTTTCTCCAAAGCACGTTTTTTGAGCAAGCACCAAGCGGAGATGCTAAATGCTCCTGCCTGGAGAGCAGGAGAGAGCTGACAGCATAGCCTTGGCCTATTCCCACTGACCCCGGAGCCCACGTGCACACAACTGGTCACAGGTTGACACCTCAGGCTTCCAGAGCAGCTGCCAAGCCTCTGAGGCATACACGAAAGATCAGGAATCCAAGGCTGTTGGAGGCCATCTGTCGCATTCATTGTAGAAAGCTGACAGACGGTCAAAGGGTCCTGGGGCTGTAAGGCAGAAAACACCCCTAATTGTCAGAGGACCTTATCTGTCAGTGAGTCTCGTCTCTTACCTGTGCCGTTTTCATTTAATGAAAAGATGGTTCTGTAGTTCCTGATGATAACCATATCGAGGAAGTCTGCCTTCTCTTTCCGATTAGTGAACATTTCTCATTTTCAAGCACTAAAATGGCTTAAATGATGTTGTTTGAATTCTAAGATTTACACCAGGAAGTTAATCTTTCTCTTACGAGTTTCAACAAGTTTATAGGCATTATAATTCAACCATGAGCTTTTTCTTTGCATAACAGGATAGAAACAAGTTAGCCCTATTATCCCTCAAAACAGCCACAACATAATGAAGCAGATTCCATTAAAAATTTATATTTTCAGAACCCAAGAAAATCTATATGCATAGAATCTAATCAATTAGTCTGTTCACATTGAAGAAGATAGTGTGACGAAAACTTTATGGAATAAACCTTTATAGAGGGAAATGTTTGAAGTAGAAGCACAATCTTAAAAGCATCAGTTTCCCATTTTGTTTTTCTTTTCCTTTTTTTTATTGATTGTATCAGCTTCCATTTCCTAAACAGTCAATCAGAATGCCCAATGGATGGATTCTTCCATACTCTAAGCAGAGCAAACAGGATTCTATTAGGTGCCATACTGCTCTATGACAAGCAAAGGAGACTGAACAGAATCAAACAATACACACACAAACACACACACACACACACACACAACCTCTAGAGCATATGTGCAGGATTCAGAACTAAGTCATTACCTCAAAATATATTTAGCAATTTAAGAAAAACGCCAGGAGGTCTAACTCTACCAGCAGGAGCAGAATGAGGTTCACAAAATGAAAGGCTCCTTCCCAGCTCACAGAGAACACTGCTTGGCCGACGTGGCACAGTAGTTAACAGTGGGGAAGCCCATGATGGATCACGTGTCTGCCTGTGCCACTAGCGCCAGCAGAGCGTGGGCAGTCCAGACCCCAGGGCATGGGCTGCTGAACCCATTCTGGGCCAGGATGCTGAGAGAGCAAGTGCAGGAGAAAGGAAACAGTCACAGACCTGGAGGTAGCGAGGCAAAGCCGAACTCTACTGCTTAGGAAGCCAGAGCTTCCTGCTCCGTTGCAGGTACAAAAAGGAAACAGCTATCACGTCTTAAGAGGTGTGGCCCCTGACTCTGTACTAGCCCGTAGGACACAGTGTCCCCCTGGACGGCAGCAGAGTAAGCGAGGTCTTGGATTCTCAGAGGAAAAAGCACCAAAGAGTCAAATCTCAGGCTATTAATAAATTGACATTAAATTACTTTCCCGTGTTACCTTTCCCCCTATTGCACATTTCATCCTCATTTTTCTACAATAGTTGTTTTCTTTGAATGTAATTTGCCTCTATTATTTATTGCTTGGATATCGAATTCATCTGCATTTTTATTACAAATAATAAATAAGATTTCTACTCCCCGAACCAAAAAAAAAAAAAAAAGAAATATATCACACAAAAACCAACAATTACCTGAAGCTAAACTGTTACGATAAAAAAAAAACATTTAATATTTTTAAAGGCTTTAGAAAACCTCGATATTCTCCTTTCTGGAAATGGTGCTCTCAGGCAAACACACCACCTGTCATTTACTTGTAAAGGCCCAAACTTCGTCTACAGGTTTTGTCATAGTGGACAAAAGCTAAAATGTTTGCTTTTAATAAATGCATAAGGAATAATAATAATAATAATAATAATAATAATAATAAAAGGCCCGCCCATGAAATAAATGCCAAGATAAGCAGGAAACGCCAGCATTTGGTAAGGGAAATGGGTTCTGCTAGGGTGGAAAGAGCAGAGTCTGTGCCCTTCGTTCAGATCTCAAATCCAGAGAGCTGCCCCAGCCACGGCTCAGTGGCCAGCCCACGGCCCTGCAACTCAGGGCAGGCTTGCAAGGGAGGTGACGCAGAGAAAGGAAAACATCCGCTAACGTCTTCCAGCGTTCCTCATTTTCTGTCTACACCTTGAATCACTTCTACCTCCTGAAAGTTGGCCGGTGCCTCGTTCAGAGGCAGGAATCCCCTCTCAGCCGCCTTCAGGTCCCGGCCGGGAAATGAGAACGGGATGCCCCGGGGGGCTGGCGCCGCACTTGGCCTTGGTGTGTGGTCAGGCGGTTCTGTCCGGGTCCTGAGGCTAAGTTCTCCCCTTGCTCCAGCCCCCGAGTGCCCGCCCTGCAGGTCTGCGGCACTGGTGAGCAGTTCATTGGGCAGTGGCCTCGCGTCCTCGTGTGCAGAGCTGAAGGAAAAGACCGCCGCAAGCTCCCCAATAATCTTTTTCTAAAATAATCTTCATCTTGGGGACAGAGCGATAGTACAGCCGGTGTTTGCCTTGCGGGTGCCCACCTGGATTCTACCCCTGGCACTACATTTGGGTCCCCGGAGCCCCACCAGAAGTGACCCCTGAGCTCAGAGCTAGCAGTAAGCCCTGATGTGGAAAAATTAATAATAATAATAATAGTAACAAAATTCATAAATAAAATTTCCACCACCGGATGTGGAAAAAGAAAAAACAAACAATAAGAAGGAAATTCATCTTCTACAATAGTCAGGAAACTTTAAAAGGGTACGATCACTAAAGGTAGGTAAGGAAAAAAAAATGCTTCAGTTCATCTTAAATGAGATTTTTCACCTGTGTTTTTAGCTCATTCGTTAAAAAGTCAGGTGTTCTTTTCATCAGGGCATAATCTGTTTTTGGATTTAAGAAAAGGTAAGATAGTGTTTTAAGAAAAAAATAAAAGTTTCTTTTCTTTAAGAATTTCCCATGGACAAAGGGCAGTACAGTGACCTGGTGTTTGGGATTCCCAGCCCTGCAATCTTTGCAAAATGCCCAGACTTCAGTTTTCTCCCCTGTGAAATGGGGCTGTGGATAGAGCCTACCTGAGGGCCAGTGTGAGAACTCAATGAATCACTCACTGCATGGAGGTGTGGGGGGGTGCCACGTTCATTCATAAGCCCCAGGCTGAGAAAGGGTCATTAAGTTGCTTTCTTTGTGTTCCCTAATTCTTCACTTGATCACTTGACTTCCCGTTAATCGGTGATTTGCTCGAGTGATTTGCTCGAGCGGGCACCCGTAACGTCTCCATTTGTCCCTGTCGCGTGCTAGTGTAGCCCAATGGCATCTGTTCGCTCTAGGAACATGAAGAGCCCCAAACCGATCGTTCATGATCTTGACGAAGAAGTCTGACTATCTGGTAGGTGGGCGGCCATGCAGTCTTTTGACATCCCGTGGAATCCAGTCGGTAACAGCTCTAGTCCAGCGGTCGTCTCTAAATCTCATTACGTGACCAGCCCATCTGATTTTTGACACCTTGGCAAACGAGACAGCGTCCCTGATTCTTGATCGTCGACGGAGGTCGGAACTCCGGATTCTTTCTCTCATTTGAGTGAAACATGATATTCCAAGCATAGCTCTTTCAATTCCTCTTTGGGAGACCCGAATAGCCCCGAATAGCATTCTCATCCTATTTGCGTAGGGCCCAGGTCTCTGAGGCATATGTTAATGCAGGAAGAACAGTGGAATCAAAGAGATGTGCCCGGAGCCGGAGGTTCTTCGTCCTCTTAGCTATTTCTTTGACGCTCTTGAAGGTATTCCAAGCCGCTCTCTTCCTCATGCGCAGCTCGGGTGCCAGGTCATTTGTCATGCTGACTTTTCGACCTAGGTGCACATAGCTGTTGCATTCGAAGATGGTCGTTCCGTTGAGAGTGAATGGGGCATCGGGAACGAGGCTGTTTCTCATAAACATTCTCTTCGTAAGATTCAGCTGTAGTCCCACCTTTCCACACTCACGGTCAAAGTCGGCCAGCATTTGTGCCACTTGGCTTATGTTTGGTGTTATTAAAACAATGTCATCAGCAAAGCGGAGGTGGTATAGTTGCCGACCATCTATCTTCACTCCCATTCCTTCCCATTTCCGTCGTCGCATGATGTTCTCGAGGGTGGCACTGAAGAGTTTCGGTGAAGTGGTATCACCCTGCCGAACCCCTCTCTTGACATCAATGATTACTTCTTTGTAGAATGGTGAGATCCTGGTAGTGAATCCGTAATACAGCTCACAGAGGATCCTGATGTATTGAGTTTGAATGCCCTGATTTGCTAGGGCTTCAATGACCGCTTCTGTCTCAAAGGCCTACTTTAAATCAATGAACGTTAGACAGAGTGGCATCTTGAACTCCCGAGAAACCTCAGTGAGCTTGGTTATCATGTGGATATGGTCGATGGTGCTGAATCCTTTGCGGAACCCGGCTTGCTCGCATGGTTGTCCTTCATCTAGTGTTCTGCCAATCCTATTTAGGATGACTCGAGTGAACAACTTGTAGATGACAGACAATAGGCAGATCGGGCGATAGTTGCCAATGTCATGGATGTCTCCCTAATTCTTAAGAGTTGTGTAATAAGTGGTTTCACCTTTTTCTGTGATTCCTAACTCTCTGAAGTGTCTTCCTGAACCTCTGCAGAAAAGAAAGGACATCTTTGAAAAAAACATTTTTATCAAACAATATACAGTGCATATGCTGCTATGTACATATACTTAGTGTGTACGTATTTAAAACCAAAGTTTACCATTAGCATTCACCCTTACTGGCACTGATAGTCTGAATTCGTATGTTCTATTCAACTTTTTTCCATGGACACTCCTCACAATCTGATTTCAAAACCTGCAGTTTAAAAAAACAAAGAAACTACTTGATCCCTTCAAAAAAAAGGCATTTTCTCTTCTCTCTCTCTCTCTCTCTCTCTCTCTCTCTCTCTCTCTCTCTCTCTCTCTCTCAATGTTTCTCTGAGTCCAGTCAACAAGCATAAGTTTGACTTGGGACACAGCAAACCTTTGCTATTATTAATATTATCAGCTTTATCTCTCTCTCTCTCTCTCTCTCTCTCTCTCTCTCTCTCTCTCTCTCAATCTCTTTGTGTTTCTCTCTTTCCTTTTGGTCATTATGGTTTGTAATTCAGGTACAGAGAAGGAAAGGGGGAGAGAGAAAGAGAGAAAGAGAGAGCAGAGGGAGAGAGAGAGAGAAGAAAAGTACCTTTCCCAGAGAGAGGCTGGGGCTGGGGGAGAGAAACTGAGACATTGGTGGTGGGAAATGTACACTGATGAAGGGACAAGTGTTTTAACATTGTAATACTGAAACCCAATCATGAACAGCCTTATAGCTTGTATCTCACAGTGATTTAATAAAAAATTAAATTAAATTTTAAAAATTAAGTAAACTGATAGTCGATTAAAATTAATAAATGCTTTAGAAATGAAGAAAAGGCATTTTCATAACTTGCACAACTTGAAGACACAGACTGCAAATGCAGGCAACTTTGAGTCGATTTTTTTGAGTCGATTTTTTGAAGCCAATATATCACAATAGTTATACAAATGTTATACATAAGTTCAAATATATTATGTATTACATGTGTTTTAAATCTTAACTTATCAACAAATTGTTAACCTTGTAATTGACTATGTAGCACTGTAGCACTGTCCTCCCGTTGTTCATCAATTTGCTCGAGCGGGCAACAGTAACATCTCACAACAAATTGTGAGACTTCTTGTGACTGTTTTTGGCATATGAATACATCACGGGAAGCTCACCAGGTTTTGCCGTTCAGGTGGGATACTCTTGGTAGCTTGCCAGGCTCTCCAAGAGTGGCAGAGGAATCAAACTCCGGCTGGTCGCATGCAAGGCAAACGCCTTACCCGCTGTGCTATTGCTCCAGCGGGTAAGTGACTATGTAAGTGACTTAATTTGGTTAAGCCTTATTTTGTCTGGTGATTGAGATAATACCTATTAACAAAGATGTAAGAATTTTTTAAAAAGGGATAAGAGAAATAGTACAGTGGGTAAAGTGATTACCTTGCATGTGGCCAGCTTGGTTTTTATCACTGGCCCCACATATGGTCCCTTGAGCCCTGCCAGGACTGACCCTTGAGCACAGAGTCAAGAGTAAGTCTTGAGTTTCGCGGAGTATAACCCCTTCCTCCCTCCAAAAAAAGAATAATTTTTAAAAGGTTATGAATTAAGCACGTCATTAAATGTCTGATAATAAATAAATGACAACTATCATAATTCCTGGCCTTTAGATAAGGTTCTCAACAATGATTGTCCATCAGGCTATCCAGCAAAATCCCTATGGAGGTTCCAAGCCTGAAGACACCTGAGCCACCTGTCACACTCACAAATCTCCCAAGAGAGTTACCAGATTAGAGTCCATTGCAAATCAAATTCACCAAGAACTAGAGATCTTGCCCAAAAGCAAGCTAATGACTCAACTGATACAAACAGCAGCAAAATATGGGCCAATTATTTTTTCCCTAGAGCAATCGGAGCAATCAGCACATGCGTCTGTAAGTGACCTTTGCTGTATTAGGGATGCACATCGGTCACACAGGCCAATCGAGGTTTATGCACTGGAGGAAGGGCTTTGCCTGAACAGGAGGGCTAGGGGACATCTGCTTTGTTACCCTTTAGATACATAATTCACGTGATATGTAACAGTAAGCCATGTTCCACAGACCATAAATTTGAGTTTTGTTTACAATAAACAGCCTCAATAAGCCTGGTTCATCCTGCTAAAAGCATTACATGAATAAGGATCTACAGCTAGTTAATGCCACTGCTAATGTAATAGCCATTAGCATGTTCACAAAAGGCCTGCCACAAATCTTTCCTTCCCAGTCGAAGACACTAATTACAAGGACTCAAGCCACTGAATGATACCTTTTCCAGTTTTGCATTTCAGAACTTATTTGAACAAAAATAATTTTAAACAGAGATGTGTAGGAATTGATGTTCTTAAAATTGTTCTAAGTTTCAACTATCTGGAATTTTTTTAAAATCATTTATTTCTCTGTAAGGCTTTGACATCCTGTTTGATTTCATTTTATGAGGGAAGAAACTGAAATAATAATCATTTGTTGTTGGGGCTGGAGCAATAGCACAGCGGGTAGGGTGTTTGCCTTGCACGTGGCCAACCCAGGTTCGATTCCCAGCATCCCACATGGTCCCCTGAGCACTGCCACGGTTGATTCCTGAGTGCAGAGCCAGGAGTAACCCCTGTGCGTCGCCAGGTATGACCCAAAAAGAAAAAAAAATCATTTGTTGTTGACTTTTAGCTCTTATTTGGGCAAATGAAATAGTCTTTGGGGAAACTTGGGCATGTTTGGCTGGGTATTTAAGGGTGGTTGGTTCCAGGGATCAAATGAGGGCCACAGACATCTACCACTGAGCCACATCTGAGCCTCTCTGAGAGGATAACTAACATGACAAAAAAAAGCAAATGCAGTTGTCCTAGTATCTGTAACTCAGGACTAGTACGTGTCACATGGTCGATATTCATGTAGCATACTGTAGTTGTTTAACCAGATGCAAAAAAGAATCTGTGTTTTTTCAGATACTCCATTGACCGAAGCAGTGACCCTGGAAGATTCTTCTATGTTGACATTACAACAGGTGCCCTAATGACTGCAAGACCCCTTGACCGGGAAGAATTTTCTTGGCATAATATTACAGTCCTTGCTATGGAAATGAGTAAGTAATGCAATAGATTAGTCCCTATGGAGAGACAAAATTGCAAGCAATGTAGAAGGTAGACGTTTCTGAAACATAGTGGAATGAAGATGAAGTTCTTGCAGGGAGTAAAAGTGAGTTTACACAAGCAAGTGACTATCTTTAGTTTGAATAATTATTTTGCACATCTCCTATATACCTAGTCCTCTGTTAGAGACAAAAATAAAATGGTTGATATTGGGGGGCAGAAAGAGAGATAGTACAGCAGGCAGGGTGATTGCCTTGTATCCAGTTGACCTAGGTTCCACCCCAACACAACATATGATTTCCCGAGCACCTCCAGGAGTAATCCCTGAGTAATGCCAGCTGTGGCCCATAAAACACCAAAAAAATTAAAATAACAGGGCTGGGATGTGGCTCAGGGATAAAACACTTGCCATGGATATGTGAAGCCCTGACCTAAACCACATGATCTCCCAGGCAGGCACCACCAGAAGTGGTCACAATGAGTTGGGAGTAATCTCTGACCACCATCATATATGGTCCCAAATAGCTCCCCACAAAAAAAAATTATATATAAAAGATTTTTAGTGTGCATATATATATGTATCCATATCCATATATATATATTTCTTAAACCAAGGAATTTGTAGAGTTTCATATAAGAGAAAGGAATTTCATGAGAAATCTAAAAGGTCTTAATTTTTAAAAACTGGAAATGTACAATAATATAAAATACTCTTATTGGATCAATGGAAGCCTTTATAATATACTATGCTTATTTATGTACATGCATACAAAAATTACAATCAGTACAGTAATGTCTTGAAACAAAAGGCACAGTTATTAATATAGTAAGCTTTTAAATGAAAGAAAATAAAAGCTAGATGTAGGTTTGTAGTATTAAAAGACATTAGACTACATTCTACTGTATGTAATATATTTTCATAGCACTTAGTGATGATTAAGGACCTAAAAAAATAGTAGACACTAACATACTGACAAAAATAAGTATATTCATTCATGAGGGCAATTTGGCACTTAATCTTTGTGTATTAGGATTTCTTCAGCAGTACCAGAAGTGTTCCTGAACATAGAGCCAGGAGTAGCCCCTGAGCACAACCAGGTGTGGCTCCAAACTCCACCTCCCACAAAAAGGGAATTCTCCAAACTACTGTTATGTATTGCTATAAAGAAAATCATCATAGATACCAGCACCCAAAAACTGTACCAAAATGTCCTGGAGAGTGCTGTTTTAAATAGGAGACTAATAGGGAATACCCAGGACTTCAAAGACTATTTCAATGGCACAGAATATCTCCCCCTAAAATATTAAAGTTTTAATTTTAACTTTTTAAAGAAGAATTGTAGTTTAGGTAATGGGGTGACAATAGTGTCAAAGTTTATAGTCTGAGTTGTTGTCTCATTGAGATGTGTGTCTGTGGCCCCGCATTTGAGGTTTGCACAATGTTCCATGTATCATCTAATGGGTCTCTCTGGTGGTAGGATTGTAAGTAATACTGACCTTTTTGTGTTTTCTGGGATTTCCAGTATTTCTTCTTATTATTCCTTTTTTATAAATAAATGCCACTATCACAATAAAAATGTAAAATATTGGGCCAAAGAGATAGCACAGCAGGTAGGGCACTTGCCTTGCTTATGGACAACCTGGGTTCGATCACCAGCATCCCATATAGTCACCCGAGTACGCCAGGAGTGATTTCTTAGTGCAAAGCCCGGAGTTACCTCTGAGGAGCACCCCACCACCACCAAATGTAAAATATATGTATGTCAGGATTTTGGCAAGCAATCAATAGAAACATTTAGAGGGGAAACAGTCACACATACATATTTTTTAAGAAAGAGGAGATCCAGGGAGGTAATACAGGCATCAGAGCACATCCCTTGCTTGTGGCTCACCCTGTTTCCATCTCCAGCACCTCATATGGTCCCCTGAGCACTATCAGGAGTGATAACTGAGCACAGAACTACAAGTAAACCCTGAGCACCACCAGGTGTCCCCTCAAAACAAAAACAAGGAAGGAAGGAAGGAAGGAAGGAAGGAAGGAAGGAAGGAAGGAAGGAAGGAAGGGGAAAAGAACCAGAACAAAGCAGTCCAGGCTTGAATAAAAGTACTTGCAAAGAGTAATTTCTGTGTCATCTAACTTCTATTTTGTCTTCTCGGGATGGTAAGCACAAAAGAAAAGTCAGCGTGGGGGAGCTGCTGGTGCTGTGACATGGTCTTTGTGACACACTGCCAGGCCACAGACACCAAAACCACACCTTGCCCATCCCCCCACCCCACCCCCATGAATGACAATCAGTCCTTTCTCCCACCACAGTCGAAGATATGGATTTGGTACAAGCCTGATCTTCATCCCTAAGCAGAAATAAATGTGTGTATTCCGGTGAATAACTTGAAACCTTTTGACATATAATTCAAAGAGCAAATTGCTCCATAGGAATAAAGCCAAGCAATGCCATGTGGCATGCATCTGATAAGAGATAGGCTGTTTGTAAGCCTAGAATATAGAACTGACCTGCCTTTAACTCCACAACTGGAAATCTGAGCCAAGTGAGAGGTCCAAGCTCTCTTTTTAGGATGCACTTGGTGATGCTGCCCCCGACTCCCCCAGCGTTTTCCCCAAATTCCCCTGCTGTTGCAAACCTGACTATGTCTGCCAGGTTCTGTGCACACTGCCAGGGTCCTAGCCACGCTCTGAATGGGCAATGCCTACAATCGTACCTTGTCATCATTCCCAGTATTTGATCGTTAGACATTTAAAAACCAAAGTGACAGGTGCCCCCTGCTCCCCCATGAGCTGCCTTCTTGCCTTCCTGAGCCCTCATCTTCCTCTTTTTTGTGCTCTCTTTAGACAACCCTTCCCAGGTCGGAAGTGTTTCTGTCACAATCAAAGTCTTAGATGTGAATGACAATGCTCCAGAGTTCCCCCGATTCTATGAAGCTTTTGTCTGTGAGAATGCCAAAGCAGGGCAGGTAAGGCGGCCTGGGAGGTGTGCACCTTGGCTGACCTCCAGCATAAGAAAATAATGGTTACAGAAATCCACATTCGCTAATCATAGAAACTGTAGCTCCTGAACCAAAGAACCCCCAAAGGCTGTGTTGCAAGAGTTTGTTAAGACAAATATTTAGAGTAACCATTACCTCTTAGGTTCTGACCCATACCATGAGCAGTGGTGAATGGGTAGACAGGAGAATCTGGAATAAGGCAGCCACCCACCCCTCAAACTTTTGTACATGCTCCCAGATACTCCACTGTGATAGGCTGTGCTCTATGACCCGGAAGTGAATGACCATGCAGATCAGGAGATGGAAGAACTTCTCTCTTCCTGAGCACAGTACTAATCCCTGAAAACTGCACAGCAAGGAATGTTCGTGTTTTGCACTTTCCTTCCTCCCTTAACTTCTGGCAACAGGTAACTTGTTGAGGGACTCTTTTCATAATGTTTTGTTACCTTCTCGCCTCCCCGACTTAAAACAACCATTTCTTTAAGGCTGCTCATGTCAGGTAAGTTTGGAGATGAAAAAAATCCAAAGAATACATTTCTACTTGTTTGAAGTAACTGTACTTCCATAACCTTTAGAGATGTATTTGCGTATATTTTCCAGTGTGCTTTGAAACCAAAGCAAAATATTTGATCAGATTTTGTGTGGTATAAATGAGAAACATCCAGAACTCCATGTGGAGTGGCCACATATTAATATGCATTGGGCTATTACAACTCTGAAGCCCAGTCATATGATGAACATCATATCAGGAGGATTATACTCCATCTCCCCATTTCTCCTGTTTTTGAAAGACCCTTCCCTCTCTCCTGATGACCCATCAGATTTTCTAATGTCCTGAGTTGTTTTCCTGAGAAATACACCGTGGAGTCAGTGACAAAGCAAGTGGGTCACAGATAGGTTTGAAAATGAAAGTTGAAGGGTGCCTGAGCAATAGTACAATGGGTAGGGTGTTTGCCTGCGCGCGGCCAACCCGGGGTTCAATTCCCGCCATCCCATATGGTTCCCCAAGCACTGTCAGGAGTAATTCCTGAGTGCAGAGCCAGGAATAACACCTAAGCCTCGATGGGTGTGACCCAAAAAAAGAAAAAAAAATGAAAGTTGAATTTGTGAAGGACCTAATTTATAAGTCGAGAAGTCATGGAAGTCAAACTCTCTGACTGGAATATCATTGTCTCCCTCACCTTCATCTCACTGCCCAAGAAATAAGTCTTTGTAACCAACACTTCTTTCATTTGCTGAAGTTAGCGAAGATGGACTCATCACATCATTACCATTCTCCTCTAAGTAAAACATGATTCCCATATCCTAAAGGAAATGGGTGTCTTGAAGCAATTCTTATATGAATTTACATCAGTACCTGGTTCTTAAAAGTTAGTACAATGGTCTGCAGCATTCCTCAAAGTTGTTTCAATAAGTCTAGGATAATTCTACTTTCATATCTTTTGAATTTTTAGCCTAGAAAGACCTGAAATACTATCATGCTACTCCTAGGACTTAGCATGAAGATTTACAGTGTAAGAAATGAGGGGTATTCCTTGTAAGCAAGAATGAGAGGGCTGAGAGTATCATGTCCACATGTGCAGAGCTATTAAGGCTTGTCTGCATATGAGCAGTTTGAGAGGGCCATGCAAATATGGTACGTTACTGTGTCAGCCAGAGGTGAGCTTCGGGCTGAGGGAAGGGAGCCTTTGTTCTTATAATTTGTCTTTAATATTGTTATACTGACCATAGGTTCTCAGGGACTTGTCCTCCAGAAGTCAAGACTGGGAGCAAGGGACCAAAGATTGAGTAGCCAAAGTCAGAAGAGTCTTGGGAAGGGAAAGGAATGAAGGGAATTTCCAAAATATGGGTGAGGTCTCCTATAGAAGAATTCCAGAGAAAGGCATCTCTTTTTATATCTCTTGATGAATGGTGGGTGGGGGAGCATCTCTTTACTATGTTCCAATAATGTGGGCATTAAAACAGAGGAGAGGATGCTGAGATGGTTCTCTCCTGCTGTCTGGGTCAGGCAGGGACTAGTCATCCTGTTTATTAGGCATCATCTAGGTAACCCTTGAAACATTCCGCACAGACGATTTCCTTTCTTTGGGACCATATTCCTAATCTCTCCCTGTATGCTCCCCCTTTTGTCTCTATCAGCATGACAATGTATACAAATTTTTATAAAATATGCAATCTTGTTTTATATGATTAGTTTAAGACAAGAGACTTATTTTTATTTGATAATATAAGAATGGTCACAGTCATGGTCACGGTCCTCCTGTTGTTCATCGATTTGCTCAAGCGGGCCCAGTAACGTCTCCATCGTGAGACTTCTTGTTACTGTGTTTGGTATATTGAATACGTCACGGGGAGCTTGCCAGGCTTTGCCGTGCGGGCGAGATACCCTCGGTAGCTTGCCGGGCTCTCCAAGAGGGGTGGAGGAATTGATCCCAGATTGGCCTGGCCGGCTGTGTGCAAGGCAAACGCCCTACCGCTGTGCTATCGCTCCAGCAATATAAGAATAGTAATAAATAGTAATAATAAGTTACTAAAAATTGACCCCCTCTATTCACAAAGAATGAAACATTTTCTTCATGGGCTTTGGAACATGAGAAGTTGCTTACTTAGAGAATTTAACTACCTCTCCTTTATCTGGAGAACTCAAATACATACTCCTCCCATTCCTAAGAACACTTTCATATGGTTTATTGTACAGGCCTTTGAAGTTTATCTGTGACTTAAAGTTCAGGTCATAAGCCACAAATCTGTTGTATTTGTCACCTTTAACCCAAGATACTGGAAATCCTTCCTGTTTGATTTTGGTTCTAGAACATGTTTTAAAGACTTTCAAAGCATTCCACTCAGTAGTTATGTCTGATTTCTAACGAATCGGATCTCTTGTCTTTACCTTATTGGTTGGTCTCTGCTGTCAGCTTTGTGTTGGCCACGTCAGGATGTAGGATTTCAAATCCTCCTAGCCAGCAGCTACAGGGAATGCCAGTAAAGAAGCTAGGTGGCATACTTGGTGGTAACCGTGGGCAGAATTAAGCCTGTGGAGCAGGATATGGGCTGGCAAATGGAGCTGAGGAAGAATTCTCATCTGCTTGGACCATGGAGGGCAGAAGAGCAGGCTCTGGTGGGTTCCACCCAGACCCATCAAGAAGCGTTTTTGCTCGTTCTTTAAAGCCCCATCATCCACCATTCAAAAGCCTTAGCCCTCTACCTCGCCAATATCTGTACACTATTTCGTGGGTTGGATGTGCTGAAATGACTTTTACAATTGTGTTTTCCAAGTTATACATTATCACCTCTTTATAGCACTCAACAAGAAATATGTTATATCCTTTTATATTTATCACCATATATAAAATTGGAAGTAGGTGATTCTTTTTCTAGAGGAATGGAGCAATGAGGTGGTCCCATGTGTGAACAGAACTTATTTCAGACTAGATTGTGGGACAGGTTCATTTTTAGTTCTCTCCTGGCCTTTCTCCTTTTTTTGCAACTCCATCCCTGCTACCCCCAACCTTCAGATTCACTAGGAGGCCAAGAGTGCATTGGGCTGGCCAGGAGTCATGCCCTGAGCAATTACAACATAATATTTTTATTAAAGAGTGCCCTTACGGCCAAAGCCTATAGAATTTTGTAAGTCTGGGAAAAATTAATCCAGCTGAGAGGCATCTCGCTAGCAACATTAGCTGACTGTGCCAAGCTCTAGGACCAGCTTTCCCAAGTTGAGACAGAATAGCCAGGCAACGCATTAAATGTCACTTGATGTGAACTGCCCTTGGAAGGATGGGCTACCAGCAACTGAGGCCATCCCCCAGCACTGGCCATCCAGTTCTTTACTGGAGTAGGATCCGGGCAATCTCTCCGTTTCTTAATCTTCAGCATACGGTGAGTGTAGGCATTTACCCATTCCCCCTTTATTCACAGTGAAGATCAAAAGAGTAGGCAAGTCCATCTGGCCTCTAAAGCTGACCTCTGACACTCTGGGTTTACTCTTGGCAAAAACTTAGTTGACTTTTAATAGCAAGTGTGTCAAGCCTACAGGATCAGATCCGAGAGGGGTGGATGGAGCCTGTGCTGTTCATTGACTGGAAACACCCGGACAGGAAGGAGAGGGGATTGCTCAGAGACCTTTGTGTAGCCCCTAGTCAGCCTGCTAGAGTTTCGAGTCCATATTTTGTGCTGCTTTAATAGATTTTTATTGTGGTCTCCCTAACCTTTTGATGAAGCTTGTCGCTTTGAAAAATAATGTGGAAAAGGCATAGATGTGACCAACGGTCTCAAAGAGCAGCTACCTGACCTCTTACTCTCTTCAATTCTGAGTTTCGCTCAACTCTGACGTGCTCCATAGACCCTGCCCTGGTGGTCTCATGCTCTACCTTGGTCACATCCCCCTTCCCTGGCCCCCTCCCTCGCTCTTGCTTTCCATTCACCCACCACAGACAGTACTGCTATATCTGCTCACTTCTCTCACTGGTCATTTTTAAATCAGAGCTTTTCTAAGCTGGCGATTTGACCCTGAAATATTAACCCAAACCCAGGGTTGAGTAGGTGGGGAGGGGAGAGGGAAAACTGAGAGACAAGCACCCAGTGTGGCACCCCTAGTTATTTTGTCCCAAGTCTTCTAATCAGATGACCCAGAGGACTGGCCTTGGTGTGAGACCGTGCTGACGCCCACCTTCACAGCATTTAGGTCATGTTCCCCAGGTTCCTTTAAAGTAAACCACAGTACTTTCGGGCCCTCAGTAAACCACAAATAGTTCCTGAGTCATGTGAGGACATGGAGACTTTCCCAGCACATGTCCCAGTGGCCTTCTCGATAGGACAAACAATCTGCTATTGGTGATCACTGGGCCCTTAATCTTTTTTTTTTTTTTTTGGTTTTTTCCTTCAACTCACTTGATCTCATGTTCTTCCCTCAGCTGATCCAGACAGTGAGTGCAGTGGACCAAGATGACCCTCATAATGGTCAGCACTTCCACTATAGCTTGGTTCCTGAGGCTGCCAGCAACCCCAACTTCACAGTAAGGGACAACCAAGGTAATCTGGGGACTAGTTGGCTATCAAAGCTTTTCAACAACTTAGGCTGGATACTCTTGGTGATTACATCATGCAGTGTTGAAGGATCAAAGGTCACCTCTTCACTACCAAGGAAGACATTAATACTAATTTAGAGTGTCTAAGTATGAGAGCAAAAAAATAAATAAATGAGAGCATACTTATACATACTTAAACATACTGTCAGTTCTTTACTTATTGTTTTTCTTTTTTGGAAGGGTGGTACACCCAGCAGTGCTCAGAGCTTACTCCTGGCTCTTCACTCAGGGATCATTCCTAGTGGGTGCCAAGAATTGAACCCAGGTCAACTGTGTGCAAGGCAAGGGCCCTACCCGCTTTACTATACTTTCAGCCACCCGATGGTTCTGAAACTCTCAGTCAATTCACAAATATTCGAGTGTTTGCTCTGCACCAGATACAATGTGAGACCCATAGGTAATGTCTCCATCTTTCCCATAAAAAGCAATTGTGTTTATATGTTCTGAAACTATGGAAGGAATCTGAAAAAAGATGCTATAAGAAGGAAAATCTGATGGAACTTTTCTAGGCAAGGGTCAAAGTGGCTGGAGGGGTAAGGGTGCAGAAACAGTGAAAATTTCCCAGAATAAAAGAAAGACAAAGTGGAGGTAATGCCAAAGGGGAACTATAAGATCACAAGTTGTTTCAACACTGAAACAACTTCATTACTTTGGAATGATTTCCAAGTACCACTGAGTGTGGGGCTCCCTATTCAATAAAATGATCCCCACTACATCTCTGCTGGAATGGGATTCCAGATCTCTCTTTGGCAATATGCATTCAGATCAGCGAAGGGGGGATGCACCCAGCACACTCTGTGCACAGATGGGGAATGGAGGGACTTTTGTTCTCCAGCCAGACGATTTTCAAAGAAAGGGCAGAGCAAGTGAAAAAATAATTTAGATCTGCCAAGTGCAACCCTTCTGTTGCTAACTCTGCTGCAAAGCAGCCATTTGACCTTGGGGAGGTCACTACTTCTCTGAACTGCAATTGCCTCATCTTCTTTCCAATTTTACCATATTGTCGCTCTGTCACAACCTAAACAAATGGTCGCACAAAGTCATGATCAGCCATGCCTAGTTTTGGTCTCAAATGTGAATTATTTGAGATTCGTGACAACCCATATGATAACCATATAAAGGTTAGAGAATCTCAAACTTGTTTTCTCCCCAGTGTTAAGCACTCTTCCTGGTCACCTCTCAGTCTCCTACAGGTAATCGTAAAGTCATTGTGGAAATTCTAGAAGGAAGGGAAAGATAAATCATAACAATAGATATACTACAATAAACTTACTGAGACTTTTACTGGTCAAATTTTGAATTCCTTATTTATTTACCTCACAGAGAAACCCCCTCCTGTAAAAATTGGTTTAAGCCTCCCCAGAGCTGATTTTACAATGGAAACTCTGGGGAGAGAAAACTTACACATTGGCCTATTTCCTCAAATTTTCAGTTAAGTGAGTACTTGAAAGTATTCCTTTACTCTGGTGTTGATCAGAATCAATACAGAAAGAATATGAAACCAAATGGTGCATCTTTCTTTAAAATGATTTTGGGCAACTGTTCATGGAGCCACATTCAAAAATGATGGATAATGGAAACAGAGTGACTATTGAAAGAAATGAGTCAACTCTTGGAAGATTTCCAAAATAGAACTTGGCACGTCATTAAGTAGAATGAGTCCACTCTCCTGACAATTTATCTAATAAGTATCTTTTACTAACTGGAAAACTGACCAGCATCCCTTATGCTCGATTTATTGTCTGTCCCCCAACTCTATCTCAAAACAAGTTATCTTTTTGTTACTTTTGAGTGGTGCGGAGGTGGGCCACACCCAGAGGTACTTGGAGCTACTCCTAGTTCTATACTCAAGGGCCACTCTCCTCAGTGTTCAGAGGATCCTGTGGTGCCAGGGATCAAACTAGGGTTCACTGCTTGCAAGTCAAGAGCTTTAACCCCTGTACCACTTTTCCAGGCCCAAAGTAAATTATCCTTTTATGAACACAACAGAGGACCATTTCAAGTAAAGCCTTTCCTCTTATCCCCAAAGCATTATAAAGAGGATTGTGTGTAAACACTTTATAATTTCAAGAGCATTTTTCCATACTTTGTTTTATATGATATTTAAGAATCTGTAAGACTTTAAGAAAGTTACTAAGTTACTAAGTATCTTAGCTGATACATAAGAAATCCAATATCCCAAGATCAAAGGATAGCCATTAAGATTGGGTCTAGACATGAAATTTACATATAAATGGATCAACATGGAAAGTATCATATTAAGTGAAATGAGACACAGAAGAAAGACTGTACTCATCTGTGGAATATAAAATAACACCCAAAAATAGTAGAGATAAGGACCAGGAGGTTTACTCCATGGCTTGGAAGCCGGCCTCAAATGCTGGGGGAAAAGGCAGCTCAGATAGAGAAGGGAACACCAAGTAAATGGTAATAAAATATTAAAAAAAAAAAAAGATTGAGACTAGAAGTTGGAATGTATAAACACATACACAAAACATTACCTTGGAAACAAATATTCTTTCCATATGGGTTGCTAAAACCCTTGTTATTATATTCAACAAAAATTTTCCAGGGGGTATGGTGCCGCCAGCAGGTCAATCTGTACCTGTGAAGTGAGTGTATTAGCAGCCTGATGGCGCCTTTGACTTCCTGATACCCCAAAATTGCTGCTGTGCCTTTGGTCAGACCCCAAAAACTTGGGGCAAAGTTTACCAAGAGAGTAAATGGCCAAAAGTTAGGTATGTGGGAAACACACCCACAAACCACCTCCAGCTCAGCTATATAATTGGAGGCATGGCCTCTCTGGTTCCTGATTGAACTGCTTAATGGCCATGATCCCAGAGACTCAGAAACAAATCTTGAAACCCAGCCATTTTTGGCAGAAATGTATCCGGTTCCTGCAGTAGGTTTTTGGTGCTGGGCCAATCCAGATGGGAATAGGTTTTGTGCCTTGGCCTGTTCCCTTTGGCGGCCTGGTGGCCACCATCCTCCAGAGGCCACTGGATAATCAGTTTTGGGCCCGCAGTGACGAGACATTTGGGGCCTCATGGGATGGGGGTGGAGCCGGTCCTGTCCTCCCCATCCCGAGACCCCAAGTCATCACCCATGAACGGCCTCTCTGGCTCCTGATCAAGCTGCTTAACGGCCATGATCCCAGAGACTCAGAAACAAATCTTGAAACCCAGTGGCTTTTGGTAGAAATGTGTTTGGACCACGCAGTAGGTTACTGCCACCAGGCCACCCCAGGGTGGAAAGGGTGTTGTCCCTACGCCTGCTCCTCTTGGTGGCTCGGAGGCCATCATCCTCTGTCCTCCCCACCCCAACAAGACCCCAAGTCATCGTCCACGAAAGGCCTTTCTGGCTCCTGATCAAGCTGTTTAACGGTCATGATCCCAGAGACTCAGGAGCAAATCTCGGAACCCAGCAGGTTTTGGCAGAAATTCCTCCAGATTTAAGTGTTAAAATTTTGAAATTTCAAAATCAGGCGGCCACTACTGCAGCCATGCAACATCATATGTTATTCATAACCAGCAATAGAAAACAAATTGTCTACTGTTGCCTTTTCAGCAGATCTGAGTGTTGGGGTTAAAATCTCAAATAATAATGGTGGGTCTGGTGTCAAAATACTGAATGTGATCGAAGTAGAGAGAGAGTAATGTGGAAATCATCTGCTCCACGGGTAAGGGGAGGGTATGGGATGGAGGTATACTGGGGTTGTTGGGGGTGGAGAATGGGCACTGGTGAAGGTGTGGGTATTTCATTGTATGACCAAGACTTAAACCCGAAAGCTTTGTAACTGCTCTCACAGTGATTCAATAAATAAAATTATAAAAAAATGAAAAAAAAATTTCAATAATTTCTTCTATATCTTCCAGGATTCGGTTCAACAATATGATACTCTGAGTTTTTGCCTTTATATTAAAAAAGTCTAGAGATCAAGAAACATATGTGTGGGTAGACAACACAATATACTTCCATTCATCTCTGGTCAGGCTTTCCAAGATTCTCAAGTCATACTTTAAGGCAAAAACAAAATCAAAAAAAATCCAAAAGAAATTTAAGGAAAACCTGGTTTTCTGGGAAAAAAAAAGATAACTCAAACTATAGAGTAAACAAAGCTTAGCTGTTAAATCTAGAAAACAGAAAAGCAGGTGGGTTGTAGAGGAGATAGAAATATGAAAGCAATTCTCAAATAGCTTTCTCCACTGAGAAAGAAAAAGTGAAAAATTCTAATTAAAACAGATTTGGGTTAGCTTTATATTTTTGAGCAGTTACTGTCATTAAACTAAGTGATTAGAAAATGGAACAAAATGGAAGAAGTACATATTCCAACTTCGGGAGACCAGAATTCAAATCCTATTTCACTACTAGAGACTAAGTAGCTGTCATCTCTCCAGGCCTTGACTTTCTCATTGCAAAAGAGTGACTATTCGGGGCTGGAACGATAGCACAGCGGGTAGGGCGTTTGCCTTGCACGCAGCCGACCCGGGTTCAATCCCCAGCATCCCATATGGTTCCCCAAGTACTGCCAGGAGTAATTTCTGAGTGCAGAGCCAGGAGCAACCCCTGAGCATTGCTGTGTGATCCACAAAAAAAAAGGGGGGGGGTGACTATTCACCAAATTATTGTGATTATTAAATGATACAGGACATATAAAAAGTCTCCAACTATTGCCATGAAAAAAGCAGGAGGAGGAGGCAAAAAATTAAGGGATAATATACGGCAGAACCTGGCAAGCTACCCATGGCGTACTCGAATATGCCAAAAAAACAACAATAACGGGCCTCATTCCCCTGACCCTGAAAGAGCCCCCAATATGCCATTGGGCTATGCTAGCACGTAACAGGGATGAATAGAGTTGTTATTGGCGCCCGCTTGAGCAAATCGATGATCAATGGGATGACAAATGACAAGTGACAAGGGATAATGTATTAGTCAGATTAGGCTAAGTTGCACTACAGGAACAAACACCACCACAATTTTGTGACTTAAAACACCTAATTTCTTATTCACGTAAGTCCGAATGTGGGTCTGAGCAACCGGTCTCAGCCTACTTGATCACCATCTCAAATCTCAAATATTCTTTTTCACTGTCATTGGTTGTAGTGGTGGCTTTGGGAGTGCTTTGTTTTGTTTTCTTGGGCCACTCCTGGCTGTGCTCAGGACTTACTCCAAGCTCTGTGCTCAGGAATCACTCCTGGTGGGACTGGGGGTACTATATTTGGTACTGGGGATTCAAACCATGTTGGATGCACGCAAGCCAAGTGTTTTAATCCCTGTAATAATATCCCTCTAGCCCCTCCATATAAAATATTGGTTGACAATCCTACACAAAGCACAAGAGCTTGAATCACATACCAACTCTTTAGTTTCTGCATGAAAGTTACATGAATCACTCTTCATTTATCAACTAAAGCAAATAAACATGTCGAGATTCAAAGAAGGTAGAAAAATACAATGCTTTATTATGTTTGAGAAGGGAAGGAGAGCCAAAAATATTTTTATTATTTCTATAAATAACATTTCTTTTGATTTGGATCTCAGATTTTCGAGGTTAAATTCTTCCCTGTGAGATGAAACCTATCGACAGGATCTTCTACACTGATACATGCTTTGAAAGTCATTGCATGTACAACCCACTGCACACGTTCCCTCTGCTGACAATGCCTAAGCTTTAAAATATGCTGATGATTTATAATTCAGAGTCTCTCGAGAAAACTTGGACATAAATTTTAAAATAATGAAAGATTCCAAAACATGACATTAGCAAATGTAAGCATTAATATACGTGTCACATTTGTAAAAACACATCTAATAATTTTGCTAATACCTTTAACAAGTGAAGAAAATTAAAGGGTATTGGTGGTCATGAAAGAATTTTCATCAACTTTGCCTCAAGCCCATATTCTGCCTTGAACACATACCTCATTTACTTGTCTCCATGTTCCTTTGCCTGCTTATTTCCAATCTAGAAAAGTCTGTTCTCTCTCAAACAGGTAATTCTCTTCCCCCTCCCCTTTCTCTCTCTCCGCCCCCTCAAGTCTTTTTAAATAAATTTCAATAAAATTGTTCTTGCTTTACAAAAAAAGAGAATTTTCACCAACTTCATATTTTTATAAATTTTTATTTCACCCACTTGATATTAATGACAAAAACTCAGACCACCAAGAAGGAAATAGCAGGGAGTATCACATGATTAGATTTCAAATAAGCTTCTGCTGGATGAGCAGGTTATTTAAAAAGCAAAGGAGTTGCTGGTAACTGCACTTGAGAGACCTCAAAGAAAATAGCAAAAGACAGGAATTCCAGCCAAAGTAGCAAAAAGAAGCAATCAGCACAGCCCTGTGGCTCCTCCTCGTTTTTTTCCTGGGGGCACAAAGCTGCCTGGCCTTGGAGAGCTGCAGAGCAGGATCAAATAGGGTCCACAAGTCACCGGTTGGTGTTTGTTCCTGTCAAGCTTTCCCAGGGACCTTTCATTTAGATCTGAAGTCTGACAGTTCCGCCCTGGGCTCTTTATGTCACAAAGGGGAAAAGAGACTTTCGAAAAGGACTGTGCCCTAGGCCTCCGGGTTTCGCCTAGAAGCAAGCAAAAATCTTGGTTTCTGAATCCAAATGCTGGTTCACTCGAGCCTGTGGAGCTGCAGCTGAAGACCTCCGGGGAATTCTCCCAGGCTCCGTGCCTGCCCCCTCACTGTCCTCAATCTAAGAAATCAATGCATTTATGGCTCTGCCATTTTCATCTGGTCTTTTTTATTTCTTCTTTTATAAATTTTTATTTTATTTGGGGCACAGTAGTTTACAACATGAACTGTTCTAGTACCACATCCTCCACTCCTCCACCTCCCTCACGCCCCCCAGTGTCCACTCCCTTCCACCTTTGTCCAGTGTCCCTCCCCCACCCACCTCCCTGTGGAAAGCTGCCTGTTAGAGACAAGTTCTCAGCTTTTGCTGCCTTTGGGCATTTTTATTCCCCTATTCTGTGCCTTCACATCCCACAATGAGAGAGATGATTCTCCTGACTTCACTCAGCATCCTGCCATTTTTTGGCACAGCGGGAAGGCATTTGCCTCACAAGCCGCTGACCCAAGTTCGATTCCTCCGCCCCTCTTGGAGAGCCCGGCAAGCTACCGAGAGTGTCTCACCCGCATGGCAAAGCCTGGCAAACTCCCGTGACGTATTCAATATGCCAAACACAGTAACAACAAGTCTCACGATGGAGACCTTACTGGGCTCACTCAAGCAAATCAATGAACAACGGGAGGACAGTGCTACAGTGTCCACTTGATAAGTTTGCTGTGAATAGTGAGGAAGTTTTTCTTCTTTCGTCTTACAGCTCTCCATATTTTGGCTCTACTTTGGCTTTCATTATTCTAATTATGATGTGTATACGTATATTTTTATTAGGACTTCTTTTGGCTGAAACCCTTTGGGCCTCTTGAATCTGGGTGCCAGCACTAAACTCTGGGAATTTCTCAGCTCTGATTTGACTTAGGCTTCTTTATCAACCATGATCAGGGACTCCAATGTTCTTAGGTTGTTCCTCTTGTACTCATCCCATAGTTCTCTTGTATACTGTTTGTTTACTTTTAGGGGTTTTTTTTTCTTATTCTATTGCTCTATAGTGGTTTCCTGCATTTCATCTTGGAGCTCACTTTTATCCTTGGATGCTTCCCATGCTTCCAGTGAGTTTTTATTTTCACTACCAAACTCTTCAGTTCTGTCACTTCTATTTATAGTTTTCTTGTTTCTGCTCTCATAGTTTCCTGTGCTTTATTAACTACCAGCACCACTGTTTGAGCTCATTAAACATCTTCAGCAGGTAGCCTCTGAAATCCCTGAGAGATTATATAGCTGGTTAATACTGGGAGTGTCTTCTAAGCTACTGAATTCATCCAGTGAGCTTGGTGGGGGTTCTAAGCCACTTCCCCTATTGCTTCTGTTGCAGTCTGGGCATGCGTCTTTATAATTTACCACCCTTGCCCCTCTACCAGGGAGGTCTCTGGAGCAATCAGATGAGTACTACCTCACCTCCTTCTCAACTGGAGCTGCCCCAGCCAATCTTGTGATTACTGACTAGTTTCTTAGAGTCTGGTATGAAGGTTCCATGAAGACTTTCAATGACCTTGACCCTTCCATCCCTCCAGCTTTAATTTAGGATTCCGTGATTTCTTAGTACTTGACTACCTTTGTGAATTTTTTCTGGATATGCGATTGGATGTAGGGTTATGCTAATATGATTTGTTGCATTTATAGACAGAGAAGTACCCTGCACAGTCTGTGAATTTACTGCCAGAGTACAGTGTCTGTTCCTATGATACACTGGAGGATGGAGGAGGGAAGTAGCACGAGGCCACTGTCCACACTTCCAGGAAAGTGTTCCTGTTACTCTAGGGGAAGTGCAGTGTGACGGTAGAGCTCTGGGTATTGTCCCTAAGCTCCGTGTTTACTTGGCAGGTCCTGCAATGTCCAGGAATCTCAGTGGGCAATAGCCTCCCTCTCGCCTTTTCCCCTTCTTTTTCTCAATCCTGGCTCTTCTCACCTTCAGATAACACCGCCCGGATTCTCACCAGAAGGTCTGGCTTCCGGCAGCAGGAGCAGAGTGCCTTTTACCTGCCCATCCAGATATCAGACAACGGGCAGCCCGCACTGAGCAGCACAGGCACGCTCACCATCCAGGTGTGCAGCTGTGATGACAACGGCCACGTCCTGTCCTGCAGCCCTGAGGCCTACATGCTCCCAGTCAGCTTGAGCCGGGGTGCCCTCATTGCCATCCTTGCCTGCATCTTTGTCCTCTTAGGTGAGTCAGTGGTTTCATTTCCTGGGTGCTACAGGAGTTTACTTAGCTCACTTAGAGCTGTCGTCCTATCAAACCTATACAGAACGGTTCTTTCACACTGTGGCTTGGTGGAAAGGTGGTAGAGAGAAGCTGGTGGAAAGTAAAGAAATTGGCAATAGTCCTTCCCTTCAAATACTCCTGACCTCTGTGGCCAGATCAAAGCTCAGATACTGGTCACACATCAACACTGGGCAGGACACTCTTCTAGGAGCTGGAATTGATAAGCAGATAGGTGCCAGCCTTCTCGGAGCAAAGCAAATTCTTTTTGACATCACAGAACTAAAATGACAAACTGGTTATCATATTAGGATGTGATGATCACCTCTTCTAACCCCTTCAGTTCAGATAAGTAGCTAACTCATAAAGACATTGTGACAGGTTCATAGCCAAACATCAGAGATTGAGGCAAACTGAAATACAGGCAGGCCCAATCTTGTGCCATCCTTATCTGACCACTGGCCCTAAATGGTGTCACAGAGAAGCGAAGAGGGACAGAGTGTCTAGAAGGGACAGGAGTCGACAGGGAGGGCCTCACTCTAATAAGCAGAGATGTCAGAGATGTGACAGAATGAACCACGGGGTGGGGTTCTTTGTGTAACAGACCTGGCTTCTGCTACTGGAGTGTAAATTTCTGGGGCGTTAGTGGCCTTCCCCCCAGCCTGTGGCAATCTACCAAGGAACAATGACTAATAGGGTCAGCATGCCTTTGATGATGAAGTAAGATCTGATGCTCTGATGGCAGACTAGTGGAAGAACACTTTGGGGGTTCCAGGGTCCCACTGCTCTTCCTCTAAAGCCATACTGCAAGGGATCCACCCTGTTTACTTCTTGGTACATATAACTGGGCAATCTGTTTTCAAACTTCACCCTCAAAAACAACTCCTGAACCAACTCTAGAAACCAAAAGATTAATGGTACATACTTCTGAATTCCTCTGACTGAATTAATTCATAGCATATATATTTTGATTAGAGTAAAAGCATAAATAGAATAATACTATTCAATATAAAATAATTCTACAAGGGGAAAAAGGGAAGGCACTCAGGATACAAATATCCATATCTATTTGGACTGACCCTGACCAAGAGTCAAAGTCAGACGAAAGAAAGAACTTTCTGTTACAACATGTCAGCACTTGATTGAACTCCTAGGTAGGCCTGTGGAATAAGCCCTGGGACAAAAATAATAAAACATGTGATTAATTTTTGGCTTCAGAAGGTGAACACAGTATTAATGAGTAACCTTTCTAAGTCCTTGAATGTCTGCCTTTTTGGATCCTATCTGCATTGACAAATAAAGTCTTCCTGTAATTCCTGAACTGTCCAGAAGGTGGCACTGAGAATCCTTGGGTGCCTCACAGGATAGTCTGTAACAGACCTTTGAAGATGCCTTCTCCTAGGAGAACTTTCTAGGCTGGCTTTCCTTCCTTCTATCTTAGAGAATTATCTACGCTATTAAGTTCACCCTGGCCCACAAAGAGCAAAAGTAATCATCTTTACAAAAAGACTGATTTAAAGTGATCAGCAGAGGGAGGATGTCAAGTTAGACGCAATATGACAAAAGCAATGTATTTTGTACCTTCCGATCACATTATGCCTTGTCTTTTGACCTGTATGGAATAAACAGACAGTTTTCAGGACTTAAACTGAGTAGACATATCAAAATCCTCGCAGTTTTCGGCACTCATTTTTAAAGGCACACTTCTCACAGTGAAGAGAATTTACAAACAGTTAAAATTTCATTTTAAAGGCACACTTCTCACAGCGAAGAGAATTTACAAACAGTTAAAATTTCAGTCGCAGTTGACTTTACTATTTGTGGGCACAAATAATTTCATAATAGTATATTAATTTTGTTTGCATTTCTTCACACCTCCAAAATTTATGTAGTGTGCCCACAATATCGAAAGAATAAACTTCCTTGGAGTTGATTCCAGGGAAGTCTTTCAGTGAAATCACATTTGTCACAAAATCTGAGTTTCAGGGTATCACATCATACTTGTTATTCTGATCAGATTAACTAAAAATTAAGATGTGACAATCTTTTTTTTTTTTTGAAGAGATGGAATAGCTCTATAAACTACCCACTTCTCTATCACCTTAGGAATTCTGATAGAATCTCAAAATCATTTCTAATTTTAGAGCGATAGCATAGCGGGTAGGGCCTTGCACGCGGCTGACCCGGCCGACTTGGGTTCGATTTCTCCGCCCCTCTCTGAGAGCCCAGCAAGAAGCTACCGAGAGTATCTCGCCTGCACGGCAAAGCCTGGCAAGTTACTTGTGACGTACTCGATATGCCCAACACAGTAACAAGTCTCACAATGTTACTGGGCCCGCTCGAGCAAATCGATGAACAACGGGAGGACAGTGACAGTGACAGCATGTTTTAAAATACCACTTGCCTTGCAGGAAGCTGAGCTGGGTTTGATCCCAGGCATCCCATATCGGGCCTCAAGCCCACAAGGAGTAAACTCTGAGTGCAGTTAAAAGTTAAAGGAGTTAAAGGAGTGCAGTGTCAGGAGTAAGCCCTGCAAACCCCTGGTTGTGGCCCCAAAACTAATTAATAAATTAAATACCACCTTACCATGCCACTGCCACTTGTGCAGTTTTCCCAATCCTCAAGGAATAATTAACTAGCTCTGCTTTGGTATTCTCTTCACAACACTTGTAGCCTGCATATAACAGCCCTTATCATTGCCTGCCTTGTATTAATCATTAGTATCTATAACCTCCTTAGACTGCAAACATATTAAAGCAGAAATTACATCTTATGCAATGTTATTACCCCATTGCTTAGCATGGCACCTAAACAATATCTGAGTTCGGTAACTGTTTAACTGAATCTACCAATACAAGTTCACTTAGAACTCTATCCTCCTACCTGCATTGGTCACATCCCAATGTTTGATGCAGTTGTCACCCTCACTTTCTTAGAGCCCTAGTCCATTTCTCTGAAATCTCACGGTTGTAGTCTATGAGTCCCATTTTTGCAGGGAGAAAACACATGAGAATATGTAATAGTCCTTTTATATGTGCAGTATTGTCAGTCAATCTATTTGAGGAAATATTTTGTATTAGTATTCATTAATTCCAATTCCTGTAAAGTAGATTCTCCATTAAACTTTGACAATCATTATTGCAAATTTGCAAAGTCAGTCTTGAAAAATATTACTGGGCATACAGTTAGACTCCATTTGTTTTTTCCCTGAATAAACTGGGGTCTTATTTTGCAGTACTGTCAAACTGTCACCAGCTGTAACAAAGTACACCAGAAGAAAAAAAAAATCGATAGCAGCTCTATAGCTAAAATCTCCACGCACTTCCTGGAAAATGTTTTCAGTCAGAGATAAACAGTTCAATGGGATTATCTCTATCTCTCTTTAAACCACAATGAACACACCCTGGGTGGAAAAATGAATTTGTTGGGATAAAATGTTATCCAAACATGCAAGAGCACATCCAACTCTGGGGCGTCTTTGATAATGTGATGAGCAATGTGAAAGGTCACTGCTCATTTCTTCCCTTCCTCAAAGAATATGAAGCCCAAAATTCACAGCTACCTCCCCACAAAGGCTTTTCTGCTAGTCATCTATGCTCTTAATATTTTGAAGTTAGTATAAAAAAACTAAGACTGGTTCAAATTCATTATGTCTGTATGAAAATGCATTAGCAGATGATTTTATTTAAAAGTACAACGCTATGGGGCTGGAGTGATAGTACAGCAGGTAGGGCGTTTGCCTTGCATACGGCCAACCCGGGTTCAACTCCCAGCACCCCATAGGGTCCCCCGAGCATCACCAGGAGTAATTCCTGAGTGCATGAGCCAGGAGTAACCCCTGTGCATCGCTGGGTGTGACCCAAAAATCAAAAAAAAAAAGTACAATGCTATTAATATACTAACATAAGAATCTGTGAGCGACAGTGTAGCAGGTAGGACACTTGCTTTGCAAACAGCAGACCTGGGTTATATACCCTGAGCATGCAAGCAGTCCCTGGGTGTAAAGGCAGAAGTAGGTCTGAGTGTAGTCCGGTTTGGTCCAAAAACAAACGAAGCAGATAAAAAAAAATGCAGTTCACCAACATAACTGTAGTGAGAGAAATCTGTATTTGCCTTCATATAAAGATATAATCTGATCCTTACACTGCATTCCTGAAGGCAGGCCAGAGTGTCATTGTTGCTGGAATTTTATTTTGACTGCTTCCTGGGTTATACACAAAAACCAATATAGTTTCAAAACTGCTAGTTGATATTCAGACTACATTCAACTTCTAATTAAATCATTTTAAAAGATGCAGGGCTTCATTTGCACACACAGTCTCTTCTCTAAACACAAGTGATGACAAAATGCACTTCCAGATTCAACCAGGAAGGGTTTCTTAAACTTCTTCAACTCCTGACACCTTTACCGGAGAGATTTTTAAGTGACCCTGGGTATACTGGCATATAAAAATGGGTATACAGGGAGTAAGACAATTGCTTTCTGTGCAGTTGATCCTGGTTCAATCCTCAGAACCAAATGGTCACCTGAACACCCCAGATGTACCCCCTGGAGACCCACGAGCACTGCGAGGGAAGCCTAAGCACTGAACCAGTAGTCAACGGTTGCCCAGATACACTGTTTAGGAGACACCACACCACACTACCATACACACACACACACACACACACACACACACACACACCAGGTAAAGAACAAATTTACTGACAATAAACCATACAGAAATTTTATTTTAAAACAAGTATTTTTTTTTCTTTTTTGGGTCACACCCGGCGATGCACAGGGGTTACTCCTGGCTCTGCACTCAGGAATTACTCCTGGTAGTGCTCAGGGGACCATATGGGATGCTGGGAATGGAACCTGTATCGGCCATCTTGGCTGTGTGCAAGGCAAACACCCTACCCGCTGTGCTATTGCCCCAGCCCCCAAAACACGTATGTTTAAAGTGACATGACTCACTGTTTACGCAGCTAGAATGGGTGGGAAAACAGGAGGCATAATCCATGGACCACTTGGGAAGAAATGAAATTAAATCATCAATTTTGGGAGCGAGAACTCAACGCACTGAGCAGTGAGCAGTGCTGTGCACGTAGGTGACCCGGGTTCCATCCCTGGCACCACAGTGGGCAACAGAGTTCGGTTACCTACCCACCCCGGGGCCCCCCAGCACCCCTGGGACGTGTCACTCACAAAAAAGAAAAAATAAACATTTACAGACCAGTGTTGACAACATTTCTGCTGCACTATCCAGGCTCCCTGTGATAGAGGTGAGCGAGCTGCTGGGTCGGGGATGCTGTGGACGTCCACTGCACTGGTCCCCGGGCATCCCAAGGCCGGCGCTGCCCGCCCCTGCCCGTGAAGGCATCGCGTGGGGCGCGCGGGGATGACGTCACGCGGGCGCCCGCCGGCTCTCACTAACGCGCCCACCCTCCTGTTTCCGGTTCCGGTCCCGGTCCCGCAGTGCTGGTGCTGCTGATCCTGTCCATGCGGCGGCACCGGAAGCAGCCGTACATCATCGACGACGACGAGAACATCCACGAGAACATCGTGCGCTACGACGACGAGGGTGGCGGCGAGGAGGACACGGAGGCCTTTGACATCGCAGCCATGTGGAACCCGCGGGAGGCGCAGGCGGGCGGCGCGCCCAAGGCCCGGCAGGACATGCTGCCGGAGATCGAGAGCCTGTCGCGCCACGTGCCCCAGACGTGCGCCGTGAGCAGCACCGTGCACAGCTACGTGCTGGCCAAGCTCTACGAGGCCGACGCCGACCTGTGGGCGCCGCCCTTCGACTCGCTGCAGACCTACATGTTCGAGGGCGACGGCTCGGTGGCCGGCTCGCTCAGCTCGCTGCAGTCGGCCACGTCGGACTCGGAGCAGAGCTTCGACTTCCTCACGGACTGGGGGCCCCGCTTCCGGAAGCTGGCGGAGCTCTACGGGGCGGCCGAGGGGCCGGTGCCCCCGCTGTGGTGACGGACGGGAGCCCCCGAGGCGCATGCGCGAGAGCCCACGCCCGCCCCCGCGCCAACCTCGGCCCAACTCTCGCGAGATCAGCTTTACTGGGTTGCGGAAGCGCGGGAAGTGGGCGCACCGGCGCCAAGGACCTCTTTTTTTTTTTTTTTTTTTTTTTGCTGGGGGTCGTTGTCCTCGTTCTCCGTGACCCCACGCGAAGGTCTGCGGTTCCAGTTCACGCGTGACGGGCCGGGACTTTTCTTGGCCGTTGCCCTTGCAGAGAAGCGGTGCGGAGATGACCACGAGAAGCAGAAAGTTCGACCTTTTTGGGGGGAGGGGGCGGGGAGGTGGCTTTTAATCTCATTTTTTTTTTTTTGCTTTTCATCTCTTGAGTTATTTTTTAATCCACATTTTATTCCCCATGGAAGAGTGTTGCCGGCTCGTCAAACCGCACAAACCAAGCCAATGCAAAAGAACGCGGGGGGTAGAAAAAAAACCGTGTTCCTCGGTGGGATATAAAGAACCTCCTTGTTCTGGGATGGATGGTTTTGTTTGGTTTTTGAACCCTTTTTGAGGCCAGGATAAGGCCAGGGCGGCCTTGCATGGGGGAGGGGTGGGAGGTGGGAGGAGAAGAGGCAGTGACTTGGACCTCAGGTTGCTGGGCCGAGCCAAGCGTTGTTGGTATTTCGGTGACCCCCAAATCCATCCACTTTGCTCTTTAATGATACCCCTTGCAAAATTGTTCGAAGGAAACCAGAAAAATCTGCCTCTTTTGCACTGTAGATGTCTCTTCCACGTGCCAAATGTGAAGATTAGATGCTACAAACGGAAGCCAAATAAAAAGAAGTATCTGATGGGGGAAAGAAAGAATAAAAAAGAAAAAGCTTGGGTTAGAGGGCTTTCCTTAATCCTGTGTGAGGTCAATCCAAGGGATGTTTACATACTGTAGATAACCTACTTGAAAATCAGTATTATAGAGAATAAATGGATGTAAGAAAATTACATGTATAAGTTTTGTATATTTGTTAATAATTTTGGTAATAAATATGATGTACTGCATCTCAGTACCTTAGCATTTCTTTTAATAAAAGTTGAATAGAAGGGATAGTGTTGCAAATTTGTTTCATTGCTGAGCAATTAAAAGAGGGCTTTGCTGGCAAAGATGCCCAAAGGACTGGAATGCATAAGGGAGTCCCCGCTAGATCAGGGAACATGTGATCCCCAAGCACCACCAGGTGTGACAGGAAAACAAGATGATTCTGCATCCTGGCCTGGGGTCTTGGAGTTGGAATTGATTCATAAAGCAAAGCCACTAACAAGGAAGGAGGAGTCTGTGCGTTGTTTCCATCACTGAGCAGAGGAATGCTGTGATTCAAGTGTTAAGCTTTAAATGAGCTCTCTTCATTCCCTGTCTGAGAACAAAGGAGAGTTTGATAAAATCAAAGATATAATGGGGAATTTAGCCCTTAATTTTTATTCTGTGAGAGGGCATTGCACAGAGCCATTAAGGAGGCAGGCCCTGTGAGCTTTCATCTCTGTTCTACTGGCATATCAAAGTTGTGTACACCAATACGGGCTACATTGGTACAGTGTCATGATGAATGAGCTCACAAAAGGCCAGGACCACATTTTATTCTTTCTCTACAGTAGCTAATAGTCCTTTGCATACAGTAGGTATTTGATAGATACTTAATGGGTGCATCATAAAAAGGATCTCTCTGACTTGTGACTAGGGGAAATATTATATACTTGTCTTCACTGAGAATAATGAACAAAAAATAGTGAACAAAAGAGTCTTGGTTATGGCAATGGTTCTGAACCTTCGGTATACATCTGAAGCAACCAAAGTTTGTTGAACGTTAATTTAATTCAATTGGTCTGGGTAGTTTGCAGTTCTAAGTTCCCAGGTGACTCTGACATTGCTGGTCCATCAACCATTCCTTGAGATCATGATGGAGTTACCCTCTCCCAAACAAGGAAGATTAGATTATCAGCCCCTTGCATTTGGGCCCACTCTATCCTTAGAGTGCTGCTGTGAGATTTTTTTTTTCAGAATAAAGGACACTTTCAAATAAGAGAAATGTGTGAGAGGCCCAGGGACCGGGGGTGCTAGGAACTGCTGAGCATGGAAGTCAGAGGATGTGCTTTACAGCTTTTCCCTTGATGCACTAACATCTAGGCTAATTCTCAGCCTCAGCAAATGAATCCTTTCCTCCCATGAACGGCAGCTCTCACACATCCTCTTTGTGGGTAGAAAGTGGCATAAAAACAAACTTAGCAAAGCAAAGGAAAAATGTAAAAACTCAAGTCACAACTAGACACAGCAACATAGCTGACATCTGCATGTAGCCAAATTAACCCCCATATTACTCTTCATTTCTGTCACTAGAACTCAGGAAATATTTGTCGCTATTTTGCTTTCTGTTGCCTATGTTCAAACTAGTAACAGCTGCTCTCCTAGCTGTGGGGGGTTGTCATGCCTCCCTCATCCTGCAAATGTGGTCCCCATGCTACTAGGCAAGAAGTGACTAAACCATCTCCTGGAGATTCTGGTCCCCAGGAGGATGTTTAATGGTGTGATACAGGAAGTGTGAGAGAAAAACAGACTAGGAGCTCTGTTCCAGCTCACACTCCAAACTGAAAGAGATTTTCCCCTCCAAATGACTTTTACAATCCCCTTTTCCACTGCCACAGTTAACTACAGCTGGAAAAGAAAACAATTCTACCACCAACAGAGCAAGCAGGTTAGACAAGAGAGCTGTAAAATCATCAGGCCTTTTTTTCTCTTTGGCTAACTGATAAACTAGCCTATCATTTACTGTTGCAAAGCAATAAGAACATCTGTAGAAATCAACTGATAAGACTGTCTGGGACTGTATTCTGAACAAGAACACAAGCAAAGATAAAAATCACCAATGAATTTTCTGAATCAAATAAGCAGAATATCCCAATATGGCAGAGAGCAAAGGAAAGATGAAATTGTAAATACCAGAGAGAAGCTGTCAAACCTAAAAACACAATTCAGACAAATCAAAAGTAGTGTGGATACATTGATAAAGCCTTTTTACTATTTCACTAGTAAACCAAAACTAGACCTTGATGTAGAAATTCACATATATAACATTCAAAGTGCTGGGACTGTGTAAAGATGAAATACATTTTACAAGAAATTCTTCCTGCAGGAGCTGGAATGACAGTACAACAGATAGGGTGTTTGCTTTGCACATAGCTGACCAGGGTTCAATCCTCGGCATCCCATCTGGTCCCCTGAGCACCACCAAAAGCAATTCCTGAGTACAAAGCCAAGATAACCCCTGACCATCACTGGGTATAGCCCCAAAACAAAGCAAAGAAAAAAATTTAAATACCACAGTCTTGGTGACTTGAATTACCAGAATTAATTTTCTCACAGGTCTGGAGTTTGGAAGCCCAAGATCAGGGTACAGCCTGGTCACATTCCAGGGATGACTTTTCTGTTCTGTAGGTGGTTGCCTTCTCGTGTGCACACATCACAGACTGAGCTCTCTGAGGTCTTCTGATGAGGATACTCATCCCACCTGACTAGGTTCCCACTCTTATGAACTCTCTTAACCTCAACTGCTTCCTTCCTTTAAATAGGGTCACATTAGTGGCAGCAGCTTCAGCACACGCATGGGGGTGATATTTGGATGGAGGCTACTACAATTTAAACGGCTGAGAACATCTGTGTCTCTGGGTCTTTTATGAAAATAATGTCTTCTCTTGGGTAGACATTCAAGAAATGAATCCCTACGATCATAAAATTGTCGTGTGTGTGTGATTTTTTTTTCCATTTTAGGAATAACACAGAGTATTGTAGAATCTCACCGTGATTTGGGCTTGTAGTACCCCCATGACTGGTAATGTTGAGAATCCATTCGTGTGCTTTCTTATTATTCGTGTCCAGGTACTCTCTTTGGGAGGTTTCACCAGATGATTTGCCAGTTTTAATAAAGGTGCTCGTTTTATTGATGCTTTGAGATTTCTTTAGATTTGGGGGATACAATTTCTCTATCAGGTATATACTTTGCATAGCCCATGTGACATGTCATTTCATTCTCTTAACAATATCTTTTGAAGGGCAGGAAATTTTAAGATTGTTTTATTGGTGTCAATTCTAAGAAATCTTTGTTCACCCCTAGTCACTAAGATTTTCTTTCATATTTTCTGCCAAAACCTTTCTAGATTTAGGTTTTATGTTTAAATATATATTCCATTTTGAGGGTTTTTTGTTTTGCTTTGTTTTCAGATTGTCAGGCATATAGCCAGAATCCTTTTCACTGCCCTCCACTGGGAGGGAGGGTATATGATTAATCAATTGTTCCAGCAGCACTTATTGGAAAAGTCTCTTTACTTTTCTTTAGAGTCTTTGGGCTTTGTGTGTGTGTGTGTGTGTGTGTGTGTGTGTGTGTGTTAAACTGAGTATAATAAAAAGATAGGTTCTGTCCCTAGACCCTGTGAATGTGCTCTTATTCAGAAAGAAGTTTTGTTTATAGATGTAATCAGGTTCACAGTGGACTGTGGTGAGCCCTAATTCAGTGACAGGGGCTAGCAACACCTGGACATAGAATCAGGGTGTGATGATAGAGTCAAAGGCTGAAACAGTGGGGCTAAGCCAGGAAGTGTCACGTATTGTTAGCAGCCAGCAAAAGCTAGGACAGGAGCCTTGAACAAATTCCCTCCCAGACCCACAGAACGAACAGGTCCTGCCGACATCCGGCCTCCAGGCCACTCCAGCCCTATAAGAAAGGGCCAGGGAGGAGGGTCCCAGCAGGCCAGAGCACATGTGTTCTATGTGAAGCGCAGTTCAGATTCCCACCACTACTGAGTGCATCCCTGAACACCACTATTGGAGACCCCAAACTGAAACTTAAAGAACCTAAGATAATAAATGCTCATTGTTTGATTTTACCCCTTTCAAATTGCTTTATTAGTAGTTTACAATATTAGAGAATGTCAGGGGAAGAGCTTGACACCTCTTTTTGTGTATAGCATGCACCAAATTCC